AAAAAAAATTATGTAGCAATAAAGATTCTCTTATTGGTGTTGACACAATAAGAAGAAAGTAAAATAAAAGAAATAGAAAAGAAAAGAAAAAAAAATATGGGTTTAAATAAAAGGTAAAATCATTTATATTAAAAATGATAGGATAATTTAACAAAGCTTCGTGAAATCTATTAGGGATATTTTTTCTTGCCTGAACTCTATAATTCTTCATAGAGTAGTAACATGGAAAAACATTGCATTGTGCGAATCCTCTAATCATGTTGAAATCATATTAGATGGTATATAACGTTTATAGAATTTATTATATTTAATAATTCAAAATTTAACATAATTCTAACGAAAAAAAATATTGCTGTAGAAGTAACAGGAGGCTAGGAGCTGCATGGAATTTTTGTTCCATCTATTTCGAGAGTTCTAACTTGATTCTGGATTATAATTCTTAATTTGTTATAGTATTTTTTTCTCATAAAAAATTTAAATTTTAAAAATCAAAATCATTAATCATGATCTTGAACTCATAAACCAAGCGTCACCTTCATGTTTTTTGTGTCGCCAAAGCCACGTGTACATCTTTTGATGTGAAAGGGATTGAAAAATTAATGATGTTTGAGCTTGTTGTGGATGATGTAGAGTCTTAAAAGAGTGGCAATGGGTGTGCCATGTCGTGCTCTCGATCACCTCTGCCTTTTCTTTCCTCAAGAAAATAAAATTATTGGTCATTGATTTGCAGCCTGAGAATGTAAAAAAAAGACCTTTATAGCCATACGAATATGTGTGTGTGTGTGTGTGTGTGTGTGTATATATATATATCATATGAAGCTTGTGTCAATGTCATGTTGCTTCTTTTGCTTTGCTTTGGCATGTGTTTTGTTTTGTTTGAATATTAAAAACAAAACAAAAATAGAAGGGTGTGTACAATTTTTCTTAACACGACAAGTTCTGTGGCCACACTGGAGCTTCATATCATTGTATGAAGAAGATAATTGGCCTTCATAAAAAGAATTCTCAATCAACAAAGCAGTCATAGTCGTACACACCAGAAGAAGAGTTTTGAAACGGTATCTCAATCTAGAAGTGTAAGTTTAGACCGTCCGACCCGGCTCCAGCGACCTGAAAGGAAATTTCAGGCTAGACCGGCCCAATCCAACCCTAAGCCTAAAAAATTTAAAGCCGGGCTAGGGTCAACAATAACGGGCCTTATAACCCGACCTAAACTTACAACTCTGTCTCAATCAAACACATTCCCATAAAAACATTGCTTGGGCTAGACCGGCCTAATCCAACCCTAAGCCCAAAAAATTTAAAGCCGGGCTAGGGTCAACAATAACGGGCCTTATAACCCGACCCAAACTTACAACTCTGTCTCAATCAAACACATTCCCATAAAAACATTGCTTGCTTACACAATTTCACAAGCCTTTGTTTGGCCACAACACTCTTGGATTTATCCCATGAAAGTCTTAAAAACCCAAGTCTTCATTGCCAAAAAAAAAAATCAAGCAAGACGGCAGCTCCAATAATATCGGAAAAAAAAGGTTAATGGTGGTATTTGCTGCTTAAGCTAAAGCAACCTTGCTCCCTCCATTTTTCTTCCATAGTTGAAATTTAGTGAAGCAATGAAGTCATATAGTGAATACCATAACCAAAACATAGCATCTACTTGGATTACCCAAAAAGAGTTTCATGATTTGCTAGTAAAGATCATAACTCAAACAACAACCGTCATCAATATTAAAAAATAAAAAAAATAAAAAGGCCATGTACTCAGATGCTAAAACTTTGAGAAGATCCACAAGTGAGCCTATATTGACCTAAAAATGGTACAGGCATTGACATGAAACCATTTTGATGTATCAAGCTACTTCAACTGATCTTCTATTTGCTGCTTTCTGTTTGTACAGGTAAAGAGAAACTCTCATCATGTGACTGAAGATTTCCCTTGAGAGAGAGAATTTATGTCCGAGTTCGTCAAAGACGACTTAATTTTATGAAGCTGGCCTTTAAATCCTGCTTGGAGTACATGAGGCGAAAACAGATCCGGCTTTTCAAGAGCTTTCACTGCTGAGCTTGCTGCAAGATTGATCTACAAGGAATTAAGGGACAATCAGTATAATGGCATTTCTTCCTTCTTTCAGCATCTAAAAGGCGATACAATTGATTTATTATTTGGCATCTTGTTTATAACTTGCAGCCCGATTTCAATAAATATGCATAACTCTGTTGTATTCTAAAGGAAAACAATGAAGCACATTTATTTAAGCCAAACTACATCTGAAGATAGGTGAATTGGTTTCATCCGTTGATACCGAAAAGCAAATAGTACGTGACAAATGGATATCTATGTTCATAAATTAAAAGCAGATAAAAAATATTGCAAGGAAACAATATGCTTGTATACTTCATCAGGGTTAAAAAAAATTACAAAACTTTAAAACTTACTCGAGCGGTTAATTGAAACTTAAGTGGCTAATATCATGTAACATTTCAAAAGAAGCAAATGCGGCAGTGGTATCCGCAAGAACAAGCACGTCACAGATGAGCAAGTACAGAGTTGGGAAAGAACAAAGTCCTACATAAGAAGATTGGAGCTCAAAGCAATCTTGCTATTAAAGAAAAGGATCTAAAACACAATCTAAACATCTCTATGCTGGGATTTGGGCATCTAATAAGGCTATAAAACCTTCGACTAAACCCTCAATAAACAAATATATATTAGGAATCTTTGAGCTTAATTTGCAATTACTCGAAAGTATGAGTGAAATGACAAACAAAAGAAATTCAACAAATACAAGAACTTTTGCTAAATATAACTCAGGACCTGTTTAATTCGTTAATTCAAATTTTTAATTTGAATTAAGACATGACTTTATATGAGAATTTTTTACTATAATAAAAAAGTTAGATGTCGTTGTTTCTAAAAATTTTTACTCTATTAAAACTCGAATTCTAAACTCAAATCGGTGAAATGAACGGGATAAATGTACACATACATAATTATATATATATATATATATATAGATATTGTAACTGAGGGAAGATTGTTCATACCGACTGCGAAGCCATCTTCAATAAAGCTCTTGCTAGAGGTAGAATGCAAAACCTTTTTCAACACAAAAAACAAAAAACAAAAAAAATAGGATCAGCATAATTTCAAAGCATTCATATTTGATTACACAAACTCAATGAAGTATATTCCCCACGAAAGATTATTCTTTTTTTTATTTCCTAATTCAAAGCGACAGAAAAACTTTCCCAGCAATCAAATGGAAGAATACAAAGGTGAAGAGAGAGAGAGAGAGAGAGAACTAACATTCCTCGGCCACCGGTTAGAGCTTCTTCTGATGGGGGTTTCCACTCATCGATTCTGCATTTACTTATAAATCAAAATTTAAAGAAAAAAGAAAAAGACTTTTGTAAATTATACATGAAAATTAAAGGCCGAAGAAGAGAGAGAGAGAGTTACATACACCCAACCGTAACGGCGGTCGAAGAGAAGACGTTTAGAAGTTTGGGTGGAGGAGGAGCTTGGGATAGAGATCGAAGCCATTGTTGCCTTCATTGAGAGCTCTCATTCTCTTGCTCTTTCATCGCTAGTGAAAAATGTGCTCAGGAGAAATCACGGCCCAACCAATAATGACCCATGACATCAGAGCTCAAACATGGGCTGGTTGAGAATAAGGCCCAATACTTATAAAAAGAAAAACGAAAAACAACAATAAATTGTAAAACGAGAGTAGTGCTGAAACTTTGGACAGGCGCCGCAACTATTGAAAATTTTGAATTTTTACTTGATGACCGAGCCTAATATGCCCAAATTTTTGGGCTGCCCGTCCCGACCCAAATTTTGTTCTTGGACGAGCTTCAGACAGCCTTTGGCTACCCGAGCCTGACCAAACTACCTGAATTTTTAAATATTTTTTATATTATATATTTATATATTATTATATATACATATATATATTACAATTTAAAATTTAAAATGAACACACGAATTATATAAAAAATTTATTTCTTTATTGATTTTTAAATTTGTAATTCATGATTACCTCGTTAAAAACCTTACTAAGAAAAACCTAATTTGGATAAAAACTTAGTAAGGAAAAAAGAGTGCAATCATTGTGGGACGAATTACAAATTTGACGAACTTACAAAGTCTATACAAGATTACAATAACACTATACAAAGTAAATAAGTATTTACAAATTACAATAATAGAATTTAATTTGAAGTAGAAAGATCGTCTTGAAAATTAAAAGTTAATCTATTAAATTCGTCGATCCATTCTTGGCTTGCCGGTGAAATTGTATCGTGTAAGCGTTGGTCGGAACAATCCCAATCCTTGATGCACACCAAAGCTTCAACAATATCCTATTGCAATGCGTTTCTCCGTTCTTCAAGTATTCAGCCGGTTGTACTGAATGCTTATTCGGCTGAAATAATGGAGACTGGGATTGAAAAAATATCCATTGCCAGTCGAGTTAATGCGCTTACATTTCTTCTTAGAACTTGCAACACTTGCACTAGCACTTCCGCTTGCCTCTCCTCCACGCCCACCACCATTACATCCACAACCTCTAGTACGTCCACCAGGGCTCGGATTTGCAGTTTTCTCAGCAACTATTTCTGTTGTTTGTGATTCATGTGTTTGAAAAACATTAGTAGGAAATTGCCCTTCTTCGATGTTGAATTGGACATCAATGGGAATATCACCACCATAACCAGAAGAAGTAATTATGAAAAATAAGAGAGATTGAGAGCGCTTTGAGA